ATATATATATATATATATATATATATATATATATATATATATATATATATATATATATATTATTTTATTTATTTGTGTTTAGGGTTTGCTGCTGCTGGAGCTGCATTCTCCCCTCCGTGTTGCTGCTGCAGCATACAGCCAGGGGCGGCACGACCTGCCTCTTGCTGTTGCTGCTGCTGCACTTAACGTATGCTGCTGCTGCTGCTGCTGCTGCTGCTGCTGTTGGTGCTGCTGTTGCTGCTGGTATTACTGTGCTGCTGCTGTTGCTGCTGATGCTGCTGTTGCTGCTGCTTTTGCTGTCTTTGCTGCCTGGATTGCAGTATAGGGTGCAGTAGTGTAGATATTGATGCAGGCGTTTGCTGCTGCTGCTGCTGCTGCTGCTGTTGCTGCTGCTCACGCTGCTGCTGCTGTTGCTGCTGCTGCTGCTGCTGCTGCAGGGTTCTATTCCTCCTCTTCTATCTCTGCCGGCGACAGCAGCAGCTCGGCGGAGCCTTGTGAAGATAATATGCCCACCGTTGCTTGCTGCTGCTGCTGCTGCTGCTGCTGCGGGTAGCAGCAGCAGCAGCATCCGTAGCAGCCTACAGCAGCAAGCCATCCTGTCTCTGCAGCAACAGCAGCAGCAACAGCAGCAGCAGCTTGCTGCAGTGTGTGCTGCAGCAGCAAAGGCCTTCTCCTGCTGCTTCGAGGCATGCGACCTGCTGCACGTTGCTGAGCTGCTGCCCCCGTTGCTGCTGCAGTGGCTGCTAGAGCAGCAGCAGCAGCAGCAGCAGCAGCAGCACACCTTGGTCAGCATGAAGCACAGTTTGGATATGCAGCAGCAACAGCAGCAGCAGCAGCGGCAGCAGGAACAGCAGGAGTTAGAGCATCACGAGCAGCAGCAACAGCTGCTGCAGGCAGCTGCAGCAGCAGCAGCAGCAGCAGCAGAGAAACGTGCTGCTGTCTTGTTTGCTTTAACAGCACGACAGCTGCTGCTGCAGCGGCTGCCTGCTGCTGCAGTCCCCCACAGTTTGCTGCTGCGGCTGTTGGCGTCCCTAGAGGCGGAGCTCGAAGCAGCAGCAGCAGCAGCAGCAGCAGCAGCAACAGCAGCATTACCTCAGGCTGCACAAACACATGACAAGAAGCCTGCTGCTGCTGCTGCTGCTGCAGCAGCAGCAGCA